TGCCTTGTTTCGCCTTGCTTTGAATTACCTTGCTTTGCACTGCTTTGCAGTACTTTGCATGTTTCCTTGCAGAGCATTGCTTTTGCAATGCTTTGCCTTGCTTTGCCGCGCTCTGCATTGCTTTGCGTTGCTTTGCATTGCTTTGCATTGCGTTGCAGTGCGTTGCATTTCTCTGCATTGTTTGGCATGGCATTGCTTTGCTTTTCTTTACCTTGCTTTGCGTTGCTATGGTTCGCTCTGCATTGCTTTGCATTGCTTTGTGTTGCTTTGCCTTGCCTTGCATTGCTTTGCGTTGCATTGATTTGTATTACTTCGCATCGCTTTGCAGTGTTCCCAACCATCCTGTGGTGCTGGGTGCTCGTTTTGAACAGACAGCACCCCTCGTCTCCTCCTTCCTCCTCTTCCTCCTCCTCCCTCCCCCTCCTCCCATCCCTCGCCTCTGCCCTCTGCATGTCCTCATGATCGACGCCATAATCATCATCATCATCATCATCTTCATCATCATCATCACCACCATCATCATCATCATCATCATCATCATCATCATCATCATCATCATCATCATCATCATCATATCATAATCATCATCATCATCATCATCATCATCATCATCGTCGTCGTCGTCGTCGTCGTCGTCATCGTCATCGTCATCGTCATCGTCATCGCCTTTGTCATCACCACCATCGTCACACTCAGTACAGCGCTTCGTGGCCCCATAGGAAGCTCCACCGAAGGTCCCAGTGGCGCAGTTCGCATGCGTCTCCCCCACTCAGTACAGCGTTTCGTGGCCCCATAGGGAGCTCCACCGAAGGTCCCCGTGGCGCAGTGCGCATGCGTCTCCCCCACCCAGTACAGCGCTTCGTGGCCCCACAGGGAGCCCCACCGATAGGGAGCTCCACCGAAGGTCCCAGTGGCGGTGTCCACATGCGCCTTCCCCACCCAGTACAGCATTTCGTGGCCCCATAGGGAGCTCCACCGAAGGTCCCAGTGGCGCAGTTCGCATGCGCCTCCCCCGCCCAGTACAGCGTTTCGTGGCCCAATAGGCAGCTCCACCGAAGGTCCCAGTGGCGCAGTTCGCGTGCGTATCCCCCATTCAGTACAGCGTTTCGTGGCCCAATAGGGAGCTCCACCGATGGTCCCAGTGTCGCAGTTCGCATGCGTCTCCCCCATTCAGTACGGCGTTTCGTGGCCCCATGGGGAGCGTGAAAAGGTAAGCAAGGCGAGAAGGCCCAAATCCTTCAAACATGTCAAGAATATCAATGATTTGGGCCTGTTGGGGCCCTGTTGGGGGTGCTCTTGGGGCCCCTTTGGAGCTTCTTGGGGGCCTCTTTGGCCGTCTTCAAGCCATCTTGAAGATCTGGGGCGATCTCGAGGCGACTCGCGACTCTTGGGCCGACTTCGCGGCCTCCTCGGTCCCTCCTGGCCCGTCTTGGGGCCCTCCTGGCTTCCAGAAGACGCACGCGACACACCCCAAGAGCTCCCGAAGCTTTTCCTCCGTAGCCACTTTGGCTCGAGCCGTTTTAGGTCAAGACTTCTGACCAGCATCGAACGCAATGCGTGTTCTGCTTGAGTTCCCAGCAGATTCAACCCGCCATGATGGCGGCAAGCCGTGAGGCGCGCGCGATCGCCTGCGTGATTGCGTTGCTCACGCGGGCGACCCACGCCGTCGTACTCCTCGCGCCGCGCAGCGCCCCGGCACCAACGCCTGCGTCTGCTCAGGGCGCCTGTGTCGACACCGACGATGGGGCCACTAATACGTTTGTTTTGTCCTGCGCCTCTTACCACTCTGATTATTGTACGTTTTCGACACAGTGCCTTCAGCATTAGGACGATGACGATTTCACAGCGGCAGACATGTGCTGCGCTTGTCGCGGTTGTCGGACACCACCAACGGATGACGTTTCTGCCGCTGGGGATCCCCACCTCAGCAACCTGCGCGGTGAGAAGTTCGACATCTACCGACAGGGCAACATGACTCTTCTACGTGTGCCTCGTCTGACTGAGCCTGCGCGCGCGTTGCTAATCGTCGAGGCTGATGCCAGGCGCATGGGTGACGGGTGTTCTGTCTACTTCCAGGTCGTGACCATATCTGGGATGTGGACAAACCAAAGCAAGCCAATCCAATTCCTTGCGAGCCCGCATGGCAACCCCAAGGGAATTAACTGGAAAGATTGGATGTGTTTCGGGCCTGTCGACTTGAAGGTGACGCGCAAGGGCAAGGGCATCCAGTACCTCAACGTGTACGCGCGTAACGTCGGCCACAGCGGGCACGAGGTCGGTGGGTTGCTCGGCCTTGACGACCACGCGGCCGTAGCCGGACGGCCTCGCGAGTGTGCCCACCCATACGTTGCCGTGCTCGTCTCCTCGTTCGCGAAGGCGGAGTGAGCAACAGTGGGCTTATATTGGCGCGTCAGCCCCGCAACCCCAGCAAGGCAGCCTGCGAACCGTCAATCTGCGGTGCTGCTTGCACGTCCACTTATGTTTGAAGATGTTTGGCCATGCTATCTCAACGCGACCCGTTGAGGGCAAAGTGTGCCGAGTGCCAAGCGCCTCACTGTATCGCTTTCGAGCGAACGCTTGAAGTGCTCGTGCAGGGACTTCCGGAGAGACCCCCGGAGGCGTATCCGCACCTCAAGCCGCATGAGACCTGCTAGCGGAGTGTCGAGAACAACGAATGAGGGGGGGAGGAGGGATGGTGCAGTAACGGTTTCGCTCTAGCGCCGTGCTTTATAATGTATAATGTATTGTAGCAGTCGGCAATTGGTCGGCAGTCGGCAATTGGTCGGCTGTGCTAGTCTCAGTGACTGGCACGAACGCCTGCTGCATCCGCAAAAGAAAGAGCTCCCGAAGCTTTCCGGAAGCGCTCAGGAACACTCGGGAAACTGGGTGTCCCGGGCCTCAAGGAATCTAATATTGGCGGCAGCAGCAGAGCCTTCGGGCACTCCACTTCGTGCGAAGGGCGCAGAGACGATATGATTGTGATGATGACCAGGGCGGCGGCAGCGACGACGACGACGATGATGGTGGTGGTGATAATGATGATGGTGGCGGTGGCTGTGGTGATGGTGGTGATAATGATGGTGATGATGGTGGTGGCTGTGGTGTTTATAAAAGTGATGATTATGGTGGTGGTAGTGGTACTGCTGCTGCTGCTGCTGATGCTGATGATTCTGACTATGTCGATGACTGTGGTTATGATGATGATGATTATGGTGGTGGTGGTGACGATGATGACGCTGATGATGATGATGATAATGATGCTGACGATGACGCTTACGATGATGATGGCGATGTTGATGACGCTGATGATGATGAGGACGATGAGGATGATGATTGTGAAGGTGGTGGTGGTGACGGTGACGGTTATGGTGGTGGTGATGATTATGTGCTGATGATGATGGTGATGATGGTGATGATGATGATTTCGATGATGCTGATTATGATGATGATGATGATGATGATGATGATGATTACGGTGATGATGATGCTGATGATGATGCTGATGATGGTGCTGACGGTGGTGGTGGTGTTGGTGATGGCGATGGTGATTGTGATGGTTGTGGTGGTGGTGGTTTTGGTGGTGATGGTGGTGTTGTTGGTGGTGATGATTGTGGCGATGGTGGTTGTGAATATGATGATGTTGACGATGATGACGATGATGACGACGACGGTAATGATGATGATGATACTGATGATGATGCTGATGATGCTGACGATGATGCTGATGCTGATGCTGATGATGATGATTATGATGATGATGTTGATGATGATGGTGATGGTGATGATGATGCTTATGATGATTATGATGATGCTGATGATGATGACGATGATGACGACGATGATGACGATGATGCTGATGATGCTGATGATGCTGCTGATTATGCTGATGCTGATGATGGTGATGGTGATGCTGATGCTGATGATGATGATGATTATGATGGTGATGATGATGATGATGATGATGCTGCTGCTGATGATGATGATGATGATGGTGGTGATGATGATGACGATGACGATGACGATGACGATGACGATGATGATGATGACGACGACAACGATGATGATGATGATGACGATGATGATGATGATGATGCTGCTGCTGCTGCTGATGATGATGATGATGATGATGATGATGATGATGATGATGATGATGATGTCGGCTCAGTCTCATCTTGAGGTATAGACGTTCTATCAACGATCCTTGGCAAGATCATGCGTACAAGAACCGTTACTGATGCGATCGCAGTCTGCCAGGACCTGCTTTGACTGCGTGGCGCAACAGCAGGCCTCTGTTGATGCTGCGTGGCCACTTTGTGTCTTGTGGCGGTCATAGCGCATCCTGCAGGCACGCGGGGGTCTGTTTTGGACCAGGTTCGACCATCTTGCGCGATCTAGGAGGCCATGTTGGGCCATCTTGGAGCCGTTTCGGGCCAAATCCGACCCTCTGATACCCCCACGCCCCCCCCCCGTCCAGAACCCTGGGAGGAGGCAGGGGGAGGGGCAAGCCCATCCCACCCAGAAGGGGAGGGACGGTTTTGGAAGAGCTGATGCCCGGAAGCACCTGCGCCCAGAGGGGCTGGTTGGATTGCTCGGGCGTCCGCGGGTCGAGGCATGTCGTGGTGCCTGGGTGCCCGGGCGTCGGGTGTTCGGACATCCACGCCTCCAGCCGCGGGCGTCCAAGCCCGCGGGCCTCTGAACGCCCAGGGCGCATCAGGGCGCCCAGGCCTCGGTATCCAGGGGCCCGCGGGGAGGCCACCCGGGAGCCGGAGCAGAATGCCCGGCTCCCGGGTGTCCCGCGCCCAGGGGGCCTGGCGGGGCAGGTGTCCATGCGTACGGACTTCCCAGGCCTTCGGCCGGCCAGGCCTCCGGGGTGACCCCGCGCCTCCCGCGTCCAGTCCGAGGGCCCCGGACAACAGTCCAGTCTGTCGGGAGGAGGGGGGTGTGGTGTGAAGGAGGACGGGCGTGCTGGGCGGACGGGGTGGCGACCTCACGCCTGTCAGGCCCTCGCCCATGTCACCGCACATGAGCGTGCAGAGCCGGCTGGAGGAGCTGTCATCGGAGCCCGTCGACGGCCAGGCGCCTCTGCGCGGGCCTGGCCTGTTCGTGTCCGGCCGCGCACGGAGGTAGGGCCCCCCCTCCCCCCAGACTCGCGGTCGTCGGAAGCTGTTGCAGGGCCCAGCCAGGGGCGAGGGGAGCACTTTCAGTAAATGTCGACGATGCCTGCGGCGATCCCCCATCGCGTACCGCCTTCGGGGACCGCCTGCGTAGCTAAACGTAGGGCCAAGGTCTGACGGAGCTGTTTGACTATGCGTTCTCGCAGCCGTTCCGGAATCCCTTGGCACGAGGGGGAAGTGCCCCATTGAAAGACAACCGTTTCAGAATCTTCAATCGTGCCAAAACACAATTCCTGGGATTTCAACGCCACGAATCAACGTGGCTGTTGCAGCCTGACAAACTTAAATCGTTCCAGAAATTCTTTCGGGGGACTTCAACGCCATAGCTAGCATCGAACCTGTGCACCTACACAAGGCTTATTCAACAGTTTCTACCCGCTCTGCTGGGCAACGTGTGCTGGCGCGCAATTCCATCTCGTGCAGGCCTTTCAGGGGGTCCAGAAAAGGGGGAGAGGGATATTGGGCTGCCTCTGTTGCCATAATTACTGTACCGTGATGACAGATCGCCCAACTCTTGACAGGCTGGCGCAGCGTGGATCGGACGTGCCCGTTAGGCGCGCGGTACCTGGTACAATGTGACGGGAGTGGAGCTGTGCCAGCGGGTGGCGGGCAACTTCGGGTTTGGACCCCCAGTGAAGTTGTCTTACGGCTATGCGGGATGGTGGTTCGAAAACCCGATTTGCCCTTTCTCGAGGAGCGCAGTGGGCCTTCCAAGAGCCCCCGTGGGCCTCCTTTGATACTTTTCAGGCGTGCTGAAATGCCTCTTGGGAATCTTTTGTTCGGCATGTGACGGGGCCCTTGGGCTTCCTGAGAGACCTCGTGGGTCTCCTGAGAGGCCTCCTGGGCGTTGGGAGATGCCTTGGGGCCTTCCTCAGAGACCCCCTACAGGCCGCCCAGGCCAGGTCAGACAGTCGTTTCGGTTGAGGGAAGAAATTAAGCAACGCTCCCCCCTTCCCCTCGCAATTCAAAGTTGGCACGTTCCTTGAAGACCACTCGGATGCCCCAAATCGAAAGATCCGAAACCAACTATGCATTTGGGGGGAGGGGGGAGTTCTACCCATATGTTCTGCATGAGTGTTGCTTTATTATTTCCGGCACCTGCTTGTATGATAAATTATGATTTATACAGATGTATATATATATATATATGCACATAGACCAGCCTTCAATTGTCGGGTCGAGGGTTCGCTTTGCGATGCATTCCCCAAGGAAGGACGTCCTATCCCACAGCTAATGTACGCTTGTGGCTCGCATGATGTCATACAGGCTGGCTGAAATACTTCCACGAGGCTTTGGTGGGTCTCCCGAGGGCCCCCTGGCCTCTTCTTTGAGAAGCCTGCAGGACATTTTCAGAAGCCCCTTGGATTCCTGGACTTCCTAACAAAGGTCGCGAACTTTCCTAGAGGCACCTGGGCTTCCTGAGAGCCCTCGCGAGTTTCCTGAGGGGCCTCACGTGCCTCCTGAGGGGCCTCGTGGGCTTCCTTCGAGGGCTTCCCAGGCCTCCTGGCAAGCCTCTCGGGCTTTCTGGGGGCCCTCTTGGACTTCTTGAGGAACTTCGCCCACCTTCCGAAACTGGCGTTCCGAGAAGCTTTTTGGGCTTCCTGAGAGACCTCTTCGGCTTTCTGAGAGTCTCTGTGGGTCCTCCTGAGAGTCTTCGCAGGGCTCCTGGGAGGCTCCCGGGGCCTCCTGAGATGACTCCTTCCGCCTATGGAGAGGCGGTCGGTCGGTCGACGGGTCGGTCGTTCGGTCGATCGGCCCAAGGGTCGCTTCACCGACCCGTTTTGGCACACCGGGGGCCATCCGGGGCCGCGTTTTGACCCCGCGGCGACTCGCGGCGTGCCAAGTCCAGGCTCTGTGGGATGGGCCAAGGAGACGGCACGAACTGCCAGCGCGTTGGGCTCCCTCGAGGGCGCGAAGTTATTCGCGCTTCGCGCTTCGCGGTCCTCGTTCCTTCTCCCCCTCCTCCTCGTCCTCCTATTCTCCCTTTGGGAGGGCGGCGCGAGAGCGCGAAGTTATTCGCGCTTCGCGCTTCGCGGAGCGCGAAGCGCGAACTTAGGAGCCCTTGGTTAGTGGGATGGTGGGACCACTCGCAGGAGCAAAGCTGCAACACAGCAGCAGCGGCGTAGTGGGCGGGCCCTTCAAGAGTTTCCGCAGGAGCCATAGGCGAGTGGGTGAGCATTGCAAGACCCCCTCCACAAGTTTCGCAACGGAATGTCATCCCCGCAGACAGTTCTCAGCAGCGTGGGCAGACACGACCGAAACAAACCATACGTAGGGGTACGGGTTCCATGCTAACTACCAATCAGCATCGTGAATCAACGTGATTGCTGCGTCCTTACAAGGCTATACCGCGCCCGAGCACCATTCCTGGTACCTTTAACGATACGGGTCAGTGAAGCTGCTGTAATCTTTTGAGACGAATGTGCGCGGCGCTATGGCGATAACCGCATTTTGGAAAGGAGCCGCCCTCGATATTTGAACCGGTTGCGAATTTTGCAAGCGAATGTGCGCGGCGCTGAGGCGAGGATCACATTATGAAAACCACACGCCCTCCGTCTCTGAAGCTGTTGCAAACTTTAACACGAATGTGCTGCGCGGCGCTCAGGCGAGAGCCACTTTTTCCCAAGGGTATTCGTTTTGACTAGAGCACTGCGGTCGCGTCTTCTCCTTCTCCTCCCGCCTCCCGCCTCCTGCCTCCCGCCTCCCGTCCCCCCTCCTTATTGTCTCCTCGTGCCTTGCCTGGGGGGCTGCGATCTGCGAAACTGTCGCCACCTTGGAGGGCTGCTGGTGGGTTCAACGGAGCGAGACACCGCGCGGATCTGAGCGGGACCTCCCCGTCTCTGGGGGGCTGCGATCTGCGTGCGAACTTGTCGCTACTTTCGAGGGCTACTGGCGGGTCCAGCGGAGTGGGGCACCGCGCGGATCTGAGCGGGACCTCCCCGTCCCTGGGGGGCTGCGATCTGCGAATCTGTCGCCACTTTCGAGGGTTGCTGGTGGGTCCAGCGGAGTGAGGCACCGCGCGGATCTGAGCGGGACCTCCCCGTTCTTGGGGGGCTGTGATTTGCGAAACTGTCGCCACTTTGGAGGGCTGCTGGTGGGTCCAGCGGAATGAGGCACCATGCGGATCTGAGCGGGGCCTCCCCGTCCTTGGGGGCTGCGATCTGCGAACTTGTCGCCACTTTCGAGGGCCGCTGGTGGGTCCAGCGGAGTGAGGCACCGCGCGGATCTGATCGGACCTCCCCGTCCCTGGGGGGCTGCGATCTGCGAATCTGTCGCCACTTTCGAGGGTTGCTTGTGGGTCCATCGGGGTGAGGCACCGCACGGATCTGAGCGAGACCTCCCCGTCCCTGGGGGGCTGCGACCTGCGAACTTGTCGCTACTTTCGAGGGCTACTGGCGGGTTCAGCGCAGTGAGGCACCGCGCGGATCTGAGCGAGACCTTCCCGTCCCTGGGGGGCTGCGATCTGCGATTTTGTCGCCACTTTCGAGGGTTGCTGGTGGGTTCAGCGGAGTGAGGCACCGCGCGGATCTGAGCGAGACCTCCCCGTCCCTGGGGGGGCTGCGATTTGCGAAACTGTCGCCACTTTGGAGGGCTGCTGTTGGGTCCAGCGGAGTGAGGCACCGCGGATCTGAGCGGGACCTCCCCGTCCCTGGGGGGCTGCGATCTGCGAACTTGTCGCCACTTTCGAGGGATGCGGGTGGGCTCGCCACTTTCGAAGGCTGCTGGTGGGTCCAGCGGATTGAGGCACTGCGCAGACCTGAGCGGGACCTCGTCGTCCGCGGGGGGGCCATGTCATGTTGTTGCTGCCCCGCCGACGTTTTAAGCCCCTTGCCCACCGTCTCCTGTTGGACCTTGCGTCTTCTTTAGTGACTTAGGGGTCACTCAGTTACTTATCGTTTTTCCCTCGATTGGGGACCTGCGAACCTTCCGAATGCCGCTCGCAGAAGTATATGCGTCCATGTCACGTCGCCGCTTTCTCGCCAAATCTCTCAAGCTACTCCTGCCCCGCGTTGCGCAGGGGTTGGGTACGTCGCCAGGGCAATTGGAAAGGAGCCGCCCCTCCATTTATGAAGTTGTTGCAACTTTCAAGCTTCAGGACCATACATGGTGAGGCAGTCTCTGGCGAAACGCTCAGCACTCCCTACTGACGAGTCTGGGGGTGCGACAGAGGAAGCAAAGGATGCAGGAGGAGGAGGAGGAGGCGGAGGAGGAGGAGGAGGAGGAGGAGGAGGAGGGGGAGGAGGAGGAGGCGTATAATGCGGAGGAGGAAGGGGAGGAGGAGGACTCCTCTTGGGGCCCTCTTGGGGCCTTTGGGGGGTCTCTTGGGGCCCTCTTGAGGCCTCTTGGGGGTGGAGGCTTCTTGGGCCGTCCTAGGGACCGCTTGGTCCATCGGACGCCTACAGATACCATCTTAGGGGCCTCTTAGGGGCCTCTCTGGGCCATCTTGATGGCCTCCTGGAGCGCTGTAGTACCTTTTGGAGGTCTCCTGTGCCGTCTTGGGGCCCTCTTGGGGCCGTCTTGGTGGCCTCGCGGCCTATTTCTATGCTCTTTGGGGACTTCTTGGGGCTGTCATGGAGGCACCTCTGACCGTTTCGGCTGTCGGAAGCCAAAGAAGGAGAGAAAACACGAACATCATCAACACAATCAATCTGGTTCGATGGAATTGGCCTCTTCGCGCCCTCCTGCGGGGTCTCTCTTGGGCTGCCTTGAGGCCGTCTTGGGCAGTCGTGGGGCCATGCTAGATAGTCTTGGAGGCATCTTATGCGAATTTTGGGACCTCTAGGGCCCTCTTGGGCCGTCGTGGATAACATCTCGGACCGGCCAACTTGGAGGCAATTCTAGACGCTTCGCGTATCCCCACCAGCCCGTCCAGAAACGACGCCCAGGCGAGTAGAGGGTCGT